AGTCCACGAAAGCTTATGCTCTAATAAATTTGTTAGTCTCTAAGGTGCCACAAGTACTCCTGTTCTTTTTGCGGATACAGACTAACACGGCTGCTACTCTGAAACCTTCAGTATTTCTGTTCTTCAAAACAAGCACAAGGATTTACCACTTAATAAACCCAAAGGGCCAGTTTCTCAGCTGGTATAAACTGTCATAGCTTCAGTCTTCATCTCAATTGAGCTACCCCGTTTTACACTAGCTAAGGATCTGGCCCTAGACTCATACATTGCCCTGATTCTTTGCCCACGCTGTTCAGTGTTAGTCAGGACTGGAACCTGGAAGAAAGAAGAACATAAACTTTCCACGCTCATTCATTTCTAGGATCTAGCTAGTCTAGTCAGTGCAAATACCAGACACCTTTTTTGTGCTAAATATTACATCTCTTCATGATGAAATCGTCACCCCCTTCCTGCTAGATACGGAAAGCATAAATTTGTTTCACTTGTGCCTCTGAGAAGATTTAGAACATTGCTCTGCTGTGTCTGCGGGATAATTATTATGATTAAAACACATAGATAGCACTGTAAATAGCTAGCGTCAAGTAGGTGCCTCTCCAGTCTTCAGATACTGAACTGATTATCCTTTTAATTACATGTGGTATGTAACCGAATTCTGTATCCACTCCCAGAGCTTGATCGTGTCAATATTCCTGTCTAGATTTCCTTGTGGTTCTTTAGTTCTGTGCTTTGGAAAATAAGACTGTAGTACAGCTGAGGGTGGGTACAGCACCTTTATTAAAGCCTTGTCTACAATGGTTGTTTATTCCAGTTTCAGACACTCGTTTTGCTGCAAACCCTTAGTGTAATTGAGGGTAAATTGCTATAAATCACTATTTCCTCCCCATGCTTCTTATACCAGTTTCAAGCAGGGGTAAATTGTACCAGTGCAAACTGCGGCTTATAGCCTGTCTACACTAGGGGTTTGTACCAGTGCAGCTATCCTGCTGGCTGGCTAGCAGTACCTTAAACCTCCCATGTAGACAAGGTTTTAGCTTCAGTTAGCGGCCTGCTGCATAAATTGCCCTATGCTGTTGAGACTGGAGAGGAACTAAGCATCTCATGTACCAGCTTGATTGCGGACCCGTTCGTTTTAGATTAACTCTAAACTACGTGCTTTTCCTTCCGCCGAACTAGCTGGATTACTTACATGCAGGATGTTTCGAAGATGCAATAATTTGAGAGAGACACAATCTGGATTATTGTTCTTTTTATTCAAGGTTTACCAAGCAGATACTGGCCAATTTCTCTGCAAAGACAAGTATTATGGAAGGAAACTATCACCCGATGGCTTCAGACAAGCCCTCTACCAGTTCCTTCACAATGGTAACTGCCTCAGAACAGACCTCTTGGCACCCATTGTGTCCCAGCTAAAGGCTCTGCTTTCAGTCATCAAAAAACAGAGCTCCTATCGATTCTACTCCAGCTCCCTTCTCATCATCTATGATGGACAGGAACCCAAGGAGAATAAAGAAACCTTAGACAACCATCCTCAGGGGTGTTTTCAGAACATAAACTGCACCATGCCACATGGGACTGGTCACCCCAAAGTTGATGTCCGCATGATAGATTTTGCTCACGCCACTTATAAAGGTTCAAAGTATAATCACACCATCTACGACGGGCCAGACCACGGCTATATTTTCGGTCTAGAAAATCTTGTCAACATTCTTGAGAATACTAGAGAAGGAGAATGACACATGCTGTGACATGGCATGGACTTTGTGGTGATAGATATCCCAGAAAGGGACTGCCTGTGCATTGGGCCAACTGCATGGAGCCCCTCACGACTTTTGAACATCCTGTGTACTTTTTGGAATGAAAGCATTGGTGACTTGCTAGGAAAGCGCAGAAGATGCTATATGCCATTACCAAAGCGAACTGTAAAAGCAAAGGATTGAAAAGAATCCACCGTGCTTGTGATCTCGCCAAAGATTTATTTTCCTTTCTTCTTTTACTGCTGTCCTTGATTTGTTTGCGAGCGAGAGGAAAGCATTACTTGAAAGAATCTTAAAATTAATATAGGGCCTGCTCACCTCCATGTGCACCAGCAAAGCCAAGAAGGCTAAGCAAAGACCGTGCAGTTGAGAGACTATTAAGAGGTGTTGGCAGGTCTGAACAAGTTGCAGCATTACTTTCAACCCAAGCTCAACATGATGGGCCAAGGACATTCAATGACACAAACAGAAGAAAATTGCACTTTCTGATCTTCATGCTCCAAACACCTGGCACTTTTAAGACTGTGATAATGTATGAAGCCCTCAATACAGTATATCTATCTATATCTATATCTATCTATATCCGGTATAAGTGGTGCTATATAAGAGGTGCTATGTTTAAGAAGTCCTTGTTGTAAGGAATTTATAGTCCCAAGGCATGAGTGAGGATGCTACAAAGCACAAACAGAATCATACAAGTACTTAATATCCCCTGGAAGAATAAGGGGGGCAGACTAAGGAGTTTTCTGAAGGAGTGGAGGGAGAGGAAACAGATATATCAGAGAGTGCTGAGTCTGTCCGATACTGATGTCGAGAGTGAGTCAGATACTGGTCATGAAAGGATTCTCATCAGGACCTGGTAGCGTGGAAGAGAATTTGTGACATAAGGCTTGCCAGTGCATGAAAGTTATTCCAGAATACGGTACGGTGTGAATAAAAAGCGGAACAGCTGTTCCGAAATAACTCCGTGTGTGGGTGCTTGTATTCTGGAATAAGAGTACCTTTTTCTGGCTTAGCTTAATCCACTTCCAAAGTGCATTACTCCAGAATAACAGTGTCCACACGTGTAGTTATTCCAAAATAGTTATTCCGGAATAACTCCATGTTTGGACAAGCCCTGAGTCAGGAACTGGACGTTTAGACTCATCTTTTTTGTGTGTGTGTGTGTGTGTGTGTGTACATGTGTGTGTGTTTGGAGGACACAAAATTGGGAAAATTTAACAAAATGTTTACAATATTTGTGGGCAGATAAGAATACGGAACAACCTATATAACCAATTCCTTCCTGTGCAATGTGGGAAACCTGTAGAATGTCCTTAAGTCAAGAATAGCGATACAAAGTCCAATTACTGGGGAGCTGAAGTGTAAATAAAATTGTCCAGGTCACTGTCCCTTATTGTTGTGCGCCTCTTTTCCTCCCTTCCTGGGCCGCCTGGAGTTGTGTTGTTTAGCACTGATTGCTTTAAAAGAACCATTCTTTTCACAGGTTTAAATGTCCCCTCAAGGAAAACCCCTTCACATGTACTTTATTGCATGCAGCTGGTGAATACCCACAAATTATGGCTGGCAAATTCAATCGTCTGGCTGGCTTGCATGTTTTACTTAGGCAGGGTGAAATCAAGTTCTTTATTGGAAGTTGTTTACAACACTGCATGTTCCTAGCATACAATCTCAGATGACCACAAACAGCCACAGTAGCCCCACTTGAGCAGTCAAGATGCCAAACCACCAACAGCTCTGGCCCAGATTGTACATATGTGATCCTAACAGCACTTTGGAATGGATCACTTGATGATTCCCTGTTCTGTTCATTCCCTCTGGGGGCACCTGGCGTTGGCCAGTCGGAAGACAGGATACTGGGCTAGATGGACCATTGGTCTGACCCAGTCTGGCTGTTCTTATGTTCACTTTCTGGCTTTGCCCAGACATTGCCCTTTTCTAAGATGCACCTGTAGCTCTTTTCTTGCTGAGCATCCTCATTCTGCCAATCTTGACATACAACCCTCCACAAGGGAAAATATTCCCTCATTACTTATTGTTTACCTAGATAGATCAATGCACCCTTGTGCTGCTCTTCAAGAGTGCTATAACCCTGCAGCTGTAGTAAAGAGTGTGCCTAACTCCTGTCCTGGCTGCCACAGGAGGGGATCAGGAAGGGCTGAGGGGGAGGAGTTGTGGCGTTTGATTGCTCCTCTGAAAAGGAGGAGTGTGCCTCCTAGCCAGAGCTTCCTGCTGGATATAAACTCTAGTCCTGCTGCTCTGTAGGTGTACAAGAAGGGTGGAGGCCATAAGCAGCACAGCTGCAGACTGTGAAGCATAGGGACTGCTCCCTCCAGGAGCCCCCTAAATGCAAGACACTCCAGAGGAGGCAGGGCCATGTCCTTGCTTTCCAATGCATTAGGGCGTGGGTCGGCCACCTTTCAGAAGTGGTGTGCCGAGGCTTCATTTATTCACTCTAATTTAAGGTTTTGTGTGCCAGTCATACATTTTAACGTTAGCGTCTATAATATAGAACTAAACGATTGTTGTATGTAAAGTAAATACGTTTTTTTAAATGTTTAAGAAGCTTCATTTACAATTAAATTAAAATGCAGAGGCCCCCGGACCAGTGGCCAGGACCCGGGCAGTGTGAGTGCCACTGAAAATCAGCTCACGTGCTGCCTTTGGCATGCGTGCCATAGGTTGCCTACCCCTGCATTAGGGGGCTCCTGCTTGTGTGCAGCTGAAGGCAGTGTCTAAATGCTGTGAATAGAACTCCAGTAGGACTGGTGGAACAGGCTAAGATAGTTTGGTTACATGCTGATAAAGCCCCTGAGTTAGCTATTTCTCTAAGCAGGAGACAGGCTCCACTTCTACTTGCAAAGGGGTAAAAGGTTCCTTGCACGCCCTTTTCCTCTTTATGCAGTAGCACAGGGCAGGATTTAGGCATCAGGCATAAGGAATGCGTCTGATTTACAGTACAACCTTGTTAGCTGGGAGTGGAGATGGAGAAATGGATAAGCCTTTCTATGCTTTAAAATGGCCAGAAAGTGAGCATGACACTAGCTATTCTGTGCCGCACAGTCGGTCGCCTGGCACGGACATGTTTGCAGCACAGCAGAAGCCAGATCTCTTTGTCAGCTGCACAAAGCCTTGTACGCGGCAGAGTAGGCAGCAGGCTAATAAATGAAAGGGCAAAGCAACACCGTTCAGCAGCAGCCTTTCAAAACACACTGTTCTTATAGCCGTGTTAGTCCCAGGAGATGAGGAAGACGAAGTGGGTGAGGTAACGTTTTATTGGATCAACTTCTGTTGGTGGACAGGACAGGAAGGCACAAGCTTTCGAGCTACACAGAGTGAAGACTTCTGTATGGCTTGAAATCATTTACCTTCCACCACCAGAAGCTGGTCCAATAAAAGATATGACCTCGCCTAGTACCTTGTCTCTCTCAAATGATGGGTTATGAACCAGTGCATGGGTGACCTCTTTCACACACCAAGCCTCTGAGTGTGACCCCTCTTATAAATTAAAAACACTTTTTTTTATATTTAACTCTATAATAAATGCTGGAGGAGATGCAGGGTTTGGGAGTGGAGGCTGACGTGACCTCCCAGATGTAATAACCTTTCCCACGTCACAACCCCCAGTTTGAGAACCCCTGTATAAACCAATGGATGATAGGCTTCAGAGTGAAGATTAAGGGGGATCCTGACTCCCTTCTACTCTTTAACAATTATTCCAGGGATGTTTTTCACAAGCAGGGGCCTCTCCAGGCTTGGTGGTCTGGTCAATGTGCTGTGGAGTTAATTGGAGCCTGGCTGCCCCAGTTCTCTCTGCAGACAATATCCCTGAGGTGCTCGTGCTGCTCCCAGGCAGGAGCATGCACCGGGCACTGAGACATTCCCCATTCCCCTCCCCTCTTAGAGCTGCCCCTATCCAGCACGCTGGCTGGAGGCAGGTCAGGAGCATGCACCAGCACCAGGCTCTCCCCCTCCACCCCACCTTCCCCTCTGGGAGCGCGCTGCTCCCAACCACAGGGAGATCAGCCTACATCTCAGGATCAGGCGCTAGCCCCTTCGGCGCATGCGTATCCGCCTCCTGCTGCCCCCAACTCCGGCCCGTAGCACATGGCTTCGCTGGGCCATGCTGCGCATGCACCATCTGACGAGCCGAACGGCCGCTCTGATTTCGCATGGGTGCGGAACGGTTCCTCTCGCTCTCCGTACTTTTGAATAATTCGCGAGCTTATTCGCATGTTCAGCGTCACGTGACCTGTGAATCGTCTCTGGGAGGGTGCGCGTGGGCCTTAGTCCCAAGATGGCGGCCACCCGCTACCGGCGGTTTCTGAAGCTCTGCGAGGAGTGGCCGGTGGAGGAGACCAAGCGGGGCCGGGACCTGGGCGCCTTCCTGCGGCAGCGGGTGGCCCAGGCCTTCCGGGAGGGGGAGAGCACTCAGGTGAGCGCCGCGGGGCGGGAGCGGCCGCGCGCCCCCGCTGGGCCGGGGGGGGGGGACTCCGCAGCCCTCGGGTGGGCGGGGCTTGGGTTTGGGTTTGGGCCTCGGGGGGGAGGGGAGAGAGTCAGCCACGTCCCGCGCC